AGCAATGATCATAGCAAGACAATAGAAATTCCAAAAGTAGCACTTACAATCACATATATTAATGTAATATGTATACATGCTATAAAATTCAGACAATCATTAAATGAAAGCGTTACTAAACACAATACAAATGCGCTGAAGATCATCAAAACATAATATACCACGAATTGAATGACAACTTTTCTTGAAATCAATTTCATCTTTATAATTTTCTCTTTTTGTACTGTCGTAAATATTTATGTCTTCCTAATTTTTTTTACTATAAAGGAAATTCATTCAGTTTTATTTTCCTTTCCTTTCAACAATTTTTTTTCACTCATCTTGCTGCATTTTTCAATCCCGTCTTGATATTCCTTACTACTTGATTTTTTCTTGTATTTCTTTCATATTTTTTGTGTCATCCTATTCAAATTGAGAATTCGATGACAACAATAGCAAATCATAAAAACACACAGCTTCACTTATTCGCTAAACGCTGACAAAGCTACCGTTACTATTTGACATTTTGTAACTTTGTTATTTTCGTTTTATTATGAGTTAATATCATTCGTATGGCTTTCGTAATAGCAATTTACTTCCACTTGTACTTCACTAAATTTTCTGCCTATCTATGCACGTAGTAACGATAGCAATAATTACAAACATATATTTTTGATAATTGTAAATTTGTTGATAAATACTAACCTTAAAAACGCGATGTCCAGAAGAATCGAACAAATGTAATAAAAACTGAGCGAATTCTGTTGACGGCTGCGTGACGTGAACCATCGGATGACTGGACATCCCAACAGATTCATCTGCTCCTCGCATTATCAGCATCGGCAGTGAAGACAGTACGGAAATTTGTATGCAACTTTCTGTCCCGCCGACACGCCCACATTCTGTGTGAACATTGCGAAATCTTGTCCCTGCGTCTTGATTTATTGACATTTTCATGTTTGTTCAGTGATCTTTGCAAATATTGCTCTGCTTGCTTCTTGTATCTATGCCGCCTCATAGAATTCTCTTCTCCCAAAAAAATACGGTAAGCTCCGTTCAACTGTAAAATGTTACGTTAGGAATGTACTTTTTAGGTCGTTCACACATCATTTTGTATTCAGGCAGATTGATTGTGAATCAATATTCTTTCAGCACACCCTTTTAACTGTAATTTAAGTTGTCAAAAGCGCTTCCGTTTTCTGACTTGAAAAAATGTGAAATCACACATAACGCTTCTTCAGAAACTGAAAACCAAATTGGTTTCTGTTGTCCTCTATGGCTGTATTCTATGATTTCTATAATTACTGATATGATTTCTGATTTCTGTATTCTGTGCAGATTCAGTTGATTGGTGTAAAGCGTACATAAATTTGCCACATTTTATGCTAACAAAGTATTTCAGTCCAAACGTATTGATTTTTAAGGGATGAAAGAATACACAGCTGACGTTCATAAATTAATTTTTAATGAGTGAGAGAATGCAGTATTCTCATATTTCTCACTTGGAAAATCCATTTTCGCTGCCTTAGTCCTGGAGGCTCTCAAAACGTTTCAATCATCGAGTCATATCATTTCCGTTAACTTTGCTACAGAAGTGGTTAATTAGTTGTTAGCTATGGCAGTCTATAAATTTAAAAGTTGGATGGAATGAACGAACATTTCCTTCTGTGTCAAAGAAAGTTACTACGTAATCCTATCAATTATGACTGCTTACAATATTCAGCAACACTTCAGCAGTACTAATAATGACATTCAGAGTTAGTTGTTTTCATTGAGTAATTAATATGATAAAACAGCATCGCAGTTAATGATTGCTAGTGATTGCAAGTGAAGATAAGCGAGAAATTACATCGCTGTCAGAAATGCATGACACATATTTCATGCTCAAATTTGACCTCATTTTTACGTCACAAACTTTGGAACTGAACAAGATAGCAACATAAATTGGTTAGCAAAGATTAAAATATCCTCTTCTAACCTGTATCCTAGTTTAGTAAGTTTGAACTCTTGAACTCTTCAAAATAAACCTTTACTAAATTCTGCGCAAAACAAAAAATTTCAGTGTAAAGTAAACTACCATAAACTCTGTTCCTGAAAGCGAAACGGTTTTCCATTATATTCAAATGGTAGAGAAGAAATAAACTCTACAAGATCATATCATGCAAAATGATTAAAATTTCATGAAATTTACTTAGCATAAAATGTGTAGCTAAAGCAGTCTTATTGGCACGACACATTACCTCACATTCTTGAGGTCATCAGTTTTAGCAAATTTCCGGAAGGGGAGATTTTCGAAGATTAAAATATGCTGTTTGTAGATGCTGAGAACTTCTAAAGATTCTTATTTTTACAATTTCTGCTATCCAAAGAATTATGTATTACATGTTCATTCTGCAAATTAATTCACGCAAGACTAATATATATATATGCTGTTGTGATTATCGTTCTCGCTTTGTCCTCGTGGAATCCATATCGACTGTCGAAGGAGATGCTTTCGAGCGTCTTCTTGAGAACTATTGATTGGATGTATGCCTTGACGTAGTGTGATATACTTCGCATAGCGTTTGCGGAAGTTCGTTACCATCCCATCCTAATTATTTTGGCCCTGCATTTCATCTCTGAGCCAAGCTTATTAGCAAGTAGGTAGGTCATATTTTCTCTTTTTCTCGTCTCGACTGCTGTTAACCTGTCCTGACTACCCAACCTCTGTCAGGATTACTTCACATT